AAAGCATTTGAAAGGGAGATTGGAGTCCTTTTATTTTCGATGAAGGCACTGGAGAAGTCGCTGTCAGTGGAGTATTCGTACTACATTTTTCCAAAATAATTAGGAATCCCATCTGCCTCAGTTAAAATTCCGTTGGGATGGCGGAAGTTTCATTCAAATTTGAAGTCCCACTGAGTTCTTTGATTTTGCACCAGACAAATTTTATTGATGTGTTTCTGTGAATATTAGCCGTAAGAATGCAAAAATGAATGCCTTCGATTTTCGTAACTCCTTTCTGGATAGCGCATTGGTATTTTTATATAATATTTTATATGAAAACAGAACAAATACCCGGGAGGTCTTTTAAACCGGTCCCATAAATCCAGTTTGTTGTTCCTCAGTAACGACGACGTGTTGTTCCACCAAAGAAGCCTAGCCCTTTCAAAAAAGCTGTTGGATTGGAGAATAGAGAGATGAGCAGCTGTGCGAATGGCCTTCGACGTAATGGCAACATCATGGTTGCAGTTTCCTTTACAAGATTTGAATTCAGAAAATGACTCGGCATCTTTGGAGTAATAACCTAATTCGCTTTACCTAGATGGAATTTAACGTGTTTTGGAGTTTGGAATGTTAAACTTGACTATGATTACCCACAGAAATAGGTCACGAAAACAAAGCAAGAAGTGGCGGAGAGCAACATGTTAAATCAATGTTATAATATCATCATGGTAATAAATCCATCATTTAAAACGCAGAGATTGCTCATTCAAAACAGAACTCATTTTCTACAACAGTAGCACGACTGTTATCCCCATCCGAGCCCCAGATGGTGTTCAATTGTTAGATTCGCCACATACAGTTAAAGGGTGAGAAAATACGGAGAATGACGAGAAAACGGCCGCGAAGATGGAATATAAAGCGGAAGCCCTGTACATTTTTTTTTAAGGCTATTTATATCGCTATGGCCCGCACGTTTAAGTTCAAATTAATGCGTTTGTGAGGGAAATTGATCTTCATTAAATCATCAGTTCCATGTTTTGAATATAAAAAATTGGCCAGCATACGGAGTTCATCCAAACTCTTAATGTTCGAGAACTTTACAAATTTTATATAAATGTAGTGGCATGAAAAACGAAATGGTAGATGTCATCGTCTCCGTTAAAGATGCCACGCAATAATATGTTCTTACCAGCAGAAGAATCGCAACTGATAACCAAGCGGTTATGTACATTTGAAATGCACCGAGTAGGCACATGAGAATAATAGTTCGAAATTGAAGATCGATTGATGGATGGTATATTGGATTCATAGCAGTTTGTACATGGTTGAATGGAGTGAAGAGCTGAGGTATTTAGTTTACTAGGCTTTAGGATATATGTGTTGTTTTATGGTCAACGATAATGGTCGAAAGTGAAAATGGTCCCCCCTGTAAGAGCATAAAATACGCCTTTAACTGAATGAAGTTTCTTTGTAGTTTAGTGGAAATTGGACATAAGTTAACAGGTGGTTTGGGATTCAAGATGTTCTCTGTCGCGCGCGTACTCCCACGTTACAGTTGAAGAAATTACCACATATTTATTATCAATCGGAGTGATGATTGTCAGTATCGGAAAGTTCGAATCTTTTATTTTTATCTTCGCGGTCTCTGCTCACAAATGGCATCTATTGTTGTTTCTATGTATGCCTATTTGTTGCAATTTTATTATGTAGTTACTTATGAGAAAGAAAGTAGTCACTTGAAAAAAGATTGGGAATTACTAAATAACATAAAATCCCAATTATCAATTTTTTTAATTTTATTTTTTTTCTTTTTTTAAAACAAAGACACGCACATGGTTACTACGGGAATTATCTTACCAAAAAGACTCTAAAGACCAATTTCTCAGTCCGACGCGAGTCAAATGTACGAAAAAAAACCAGGACAATTAACAGAAATCACAGACGAAAAAGTAAACACATATTGTTCAAAACGTATTCTTATACCTTGTAAGAACGCGGATGAAAAATGCTTTCTTCTTATTTGTATACGATATATATTTTGTGGTTTTTCATTTAACTGTTTCAATAGTTTAGATGCTTGAAGGTAATTAGTCAAGAAAGCGCTTCCTGTGCATTTGGCAATTAAGTCGTTCGAAGATGCACACATACCTTTAGTTCAGCCTACGATTTGACGTTACTGATCAATAATAAGTAGATAGACTCCTTCGCTCGCTCATAATCCAACATGACTTTCATTACATGTATTACTTAAAAAGCTTTATTCGAAAATTTTCTTTATTAAAGAAGAAGAATAAGAAACGCATAACATATGCGGACGAAGGTTCTTCAAGTTTGTTTGTCTGATTACTGCAACCATTTGACTCATAGTTGATTACATTATTTTTTCACTAGTTTCGGAGGAAGATATTCGATCGGGAAATTTAAGGGTTTTCACGCGTTCCCGTTAGATATAAAAAATCGTAATGACCAAGTTTTCCTAACCATCGTAACTAAGCAACATAAACTAGTAGAATATAAACCAGAAACAGTAGTTTACTTTTGCAACAAATATAAGTTGAAATGAAATTCCTACTTAAGAATAAATATTTTGTTGAACTTTTTTACTGAGTTTTGAAAGAAGCCATTTGGTCCACTTACAAGAGTTTCATTTCCGTTCGTTTCGTTCTTTCAGCATTTACACGCTTGCCTCGTACGTCGATGTATTTATATTTGCTGTAGTCCTTAGTGTTGAAAAAGCCGTATTAAGTTTTTTGTTTGAACTTGTTTTTCTCTCCTTCTTCTTAAAGTAAGTTTAACTAACAATTCGTTTTCTTTTGTTTTTGTGACTGTAATAGCTGTCTGGTGTTATGCTCCGTTTCATTAGTCTCAAGTACTTAAAATACAACGCATGCATAAAAAACGGCAAATATATTTATGTAAGTGTATGTAAAAGATATTACATACTTTTGGGCTTGTAGTCTCACATAACGCTGCTGGTAGGAAACGAGCGAGTGATGAGAATGGATATTGAGCAGATAGTAACTGGGTACAGACGGATATACATATACACAGTAACACTGCAGCCGTTTTGCAAAGGCAATGGAAATTGTTCGTTTTTCTTAAGCATGCATATTAAACGTTTATTTGTACGACGTACATTTTTATTGCATTGTGACGATGATGACGATGATGATCGCCATCTTTATGATGAAGCATGTACAATATTTTGTTGCTGCTGTTGTTGATTTAACCTATATGCACGCTTGGTCACAATTTGAATGGGAATATATTCCGTAAATGCAGACATATTCTATGAATATATGGATGCATGTGTATGCATACACACTATACGTATATATAAATATATGTTTAAGTATAAACATTTTCTGCTCGTTTATTTAGGTTGTATAATTTATTATGAATTGAGGCTGCCTACCCGTATGGAGGTATGGAAGAAATATAGGAAATTGTTTTCAATTCAAAAAGAGGTATGGAGAAAACATACGAAAAAGTTATAACTCATGCCACCCAATATATTCCATACGGAACATTTAAGGAAGAGCTAAAAGTGAAAAGCGGGCTATCACATCACTCATCGGTGAAGCATTTATGAGCTCTTTTTTTACGTAAATGACAACTTAAGCCTTCATTCATTAATGGAGTTTTTCAAAACTTAAGAAAAAAGGCAAACTTTAAGCCTGAAATGTAAATCAAAGTGTTTAGTCAAAGTCTTAGAAAGCCTTACAATCTCTTTTTACACTTAAAGAAAACCGGAAAAAACGGAATTGGGTAAAACTCACTTTCATTTTTTCTTCAGAAAAAATTTCTATGAGAATACAGAGCATATTTTAATAACAAATTATTCGTTACTTTAAAAACAATTCATAGTAAATTTAAGGTTAATTCTTGTTTATTCGTTTCATAGCCTCGTTTCTGACTAGTAACAAATTGTTTTTTCCACGCTTGCTGGAATGAAGTAAAAGAGCTCTGGAGCGTAGAATGCGAGAAGTTGAATATGTTAATTTTATATTGAATGTGACCGACGCCATGACGTAAAAGTTTCACAATCTCCCTAATATAGATGGAGATTAGAATTAAAGTAAAGCGACTAAAAGCTAAAAAAAGATAGTTTATTTCATATTATTTACATATACAAATGGCATTTTTTAACTAACCAAAGCCGCAAAACTTGTTTCAGTCGCGCGCTCAGACGTAGGTGAATCAAGCATATTTAGCATAGTGTAACCTATTTTTACGAATTGTTATCTTTTTCGCTATACTTCCGCAGCACTTAAGTATAGTTTAAGTTATTTTTGAGTATTGCCAACTTTTCTTATATATATTGCTAGTTCCTTTCAGGATCGAAACTTCGTCTGAATAACATCATCCAAACGTAGAAGCGTAATCACTCGCAAATGTACTACCCACAGAGGAGCCGATTAGATTAAAATTTATCTGTCTATTTTAAGCTGTTAGGTTATTTGATTCATCATAGTTTTGTAGAATTCTAAGATAAGTTATTGCAACTAGCATAACACTTGGATTTTCCTCGGGAAGGTAAAGTAAATGCTGTACGTAGAAGTTACGTCTCTTCTTTAATATTTCCATTATAAATAAATGAAGTTGACAAATAACTTTTAATCGGGCAATAGAATTCCTTTTTCATGTGCGGAAATATAAATATCGAAAGTAAGAACGTCTAGAACATCCGTTGAGGCGATTTTTAAAGATTTTAAAAATTTAAAAAAAACTTTATCTTATGGTATACAGCTATACATACGATTATAAGCTTAGAGCGTTTACAAATACTGGGATTTCTTTCACATTAAAATCTTAAACGCCTAAAGCTCCCATGTCTGCTTGTAAAAATATATGACCAGCAAGAGGAAGACCTAAATATATGAACAGCGCCGGTCACATAACGGTGATTATGAGCAAAAATTTAATTTCCATTTCCTGATTCAATAAAATAAAAGCTAATTTTAAAATGAAATTTTCTTTATTTATATTCTATTGATTTAATAAATATTTTCTATACTTACCACATCAATAATTTGCATTAACGTTAATCCGAAGCTTAATTGTAGTGGATCCGATTCATTTAAAACCGGACGTTCTAGTGTATTGTATGTATCTAATAGATCATGTAACAGTCTCTTTTCATTATAACCTGCCAAACAAACTGTAAAGAGATGGTATAGAGAAAAAATGTCAGCGCAAATTTTATAAAAACTTTGGAAAATTAAGAAAAACATAGAAAAAAAATATTGTGAAACACTTTTCAATCCCATTCATGCCTCTCAACACTTTAACCTGCTTTTATTTTTTGTAGTTTATATAATTTCAAATTGTTTTCTTTTTTTTTTGCAAAACTTTTTCTACAGCTGCCATAACTTGTCATAAGTGTTAATGTTTTAATATATATATCTAGAGCAAAATACGTGTACGTATATGTTTACAGAAAAAAAGTTTGAAAGCGATGTGTCTCATTATTTGGGATAACACCTGACTTTAACATTTACCTGCCACTAGACTATCGCATGTGTTTACTTTCGTTGTCACTTAAAATTGGAAGTTCCCCTTTTTTCGTCGTAAATATTTATGCTTTTAAAAATATATCAAATATACATTTTAGTTGTTTTTAAAAACCTGACAGCGTAATATAGTTTTCGCCGCTTGTTAGCAAAGCAATCTATTTGTTAACATTTCCCTATGCTTTATGCATTTGTTCGTTTAAAGTCTGGATTTTAAGGGCAGGTCGAAAAGGGAAACGAACAGCGCCTAGACGTTTAAAACGGCGAACTTGACTACTACCAACTATGCCGTGACAGGATTACAAAGCTAAGTAAGGTATCGAACATTGTTCAACGATATGTCAGAACTACAGATATTATAAACCGCATGGTAAGGAATTTTAATAGTTTCAACTAAAGATGCATGTATACGAATCCTCGTAACTGCAAGGAACAAGTACATTTTTTCAATCAAAAATCAAATCAATATTGAATACTACGTAAATCTCACAAACAGAGATTGTACCAAAGCATATTTATAGCAAGAGCTTCGCCACTTGTTCAAGGACATAAAATAGTGCCAGATCGTTACCTGATTTCGCCGCCAAGGCGGAATTCCAGCATAATATCGCAATTTATCGGACCCTTCACAAAATGAAAACTTTTTCTACTATTTTATTTATCTAAGTTCAATTAAAATTGTTTAAACTTTCAAAAAAAATCATTAGGGTATGTATCTATTATGTTTGTATCATTAGGGCGAGGAACAATTTGCAAATGTAGGTACTTTTGGCCAGTCAATATTCTGAGTGCATGAAGAAATTTAGGAAATTAAATGCAATAACGATTTGTTTGTTCGTAAATCTTTTCTTTCCACATGTCCGACATACCTAACTAATAGGGCAACACGAAACCAAAGTACTTTACGAGCGAGGAACTAATTGAAGGCTAACTTTTTTTACTTTCTTTTGTTGTTGTAATTTTAGGAATACAATTTTAATATCAGAAGCAATAGTAGGGCTGGCAAGCACATAGCGTAGTAAGTTGAGGTTACAAAATATATATGTAAATTAATATCTCTCGTGATCTCCCGTGAGAGATCGTGGTGGGAAGAAGAGGGAAGAATTTCTTGAATACATTCCAGAAAGTTGGCAAACATTATATTGGCATATATGTTCTCGTGTCACTTATTTAAGTTAGAGTGAGGAATTGTAGCTCGTAGAAAATACTCTTCAATTGATTAATCCAGGGTTCTAAAAATTAACAAAGAAGATAGAAGCAAAAGAAAACTCCACGATTTTTTAAAATTTCCGATATTTTATATATGTTCGTTTTTGAGATGTTTTTTAAAAACTGCATAAAGTTCGTACTTTATACTTATATGGAATTCCTTTTTAAATGCTTTGCAGAGTATATGCATATGTTTTTATCAGTTGACAGTTGTGTTTGATATTTTTAATTGCGAATAACACTACAGTTTCAAAACCTTTTAGTATAACAACTCAAAAGCTTTGCCCATCATATAAAGATGGCTAAGACGAAAATAAAATATATTCTTAGGAAAAAATGTTATTCCTTTTGTAAAGTTTCTCTCCCCCGCTTTTCCAACAGCTCTTCTTCAAGATTTATAATACACATATTTCAATTTTTAATTTCAACTTCTAAGTCTACGTATTTCTGACATTATCTCTTGAATAAGTGGAAGACATACGAACTTGTCTTGCTATGGTTTAGCGTCCAATTATCTCGTTGCTATACAATGGTTACTCACACAGATGAAATTACTCAAAAATATTATATTTCGGCATTGTTTACATAATTGAAAAACAAACAGATAAATGTAAAAATAATTTGTAATTTTTTTTTTGTTCGAAAAGAACAAATCATTGTTAGCTGCTTAAAAAAAATCGCTACCTTCGTATTTTGCCTTATGGTATTGTTACGTCTTATTCAATAGCGTATAAATTGTATTTTATTACTAACCATCTTTTATTACTATTGAGTATCTTTCAATCATACGAATATGTGTGAGATCAGTGAAAAAAATTCAAAGCCACTATTAAATTTACGGTCTGTTACCTTAGTTATGAGAAATTCAATGTAATATAAAAAATGATATAAATTATTGCCATTATTTATTATACTTCGATAAATACTTCAGGATAAATAAGTAGAGCAAAAGCATTTGTGTAGAGCGATAATGGTGTTCAGGAGATCGTAAAAGTAATAGAAAATTAAATTGATGCTATTGACGGTAGAATGTAGATGCCAAAGCCAGTTTTCTCGTTTTAAACGCCATAGAGAATTGGCACGATATGTAACTGTCCAGCGTTTAAAGTACCAACATTGTATATGCTTGCATTTCATTTATTTTAACGTCGAGAGTCAGCTCAGTGGTTTGTTTCACGGCTTCCTATCCGAGCGTAGGTTTACTTTCCTGGTATTATTGGAAGGCGCAGATTATCTTCACTTAAAATTATGTAGCTTCCAGTATTCATATGTGTATTAGAATCAGTTTTATTTAGTTTCTCTTCAATTGAACTCGATAGGTTATAACAAGTTATCATGTTGATGCAATTTATTTTGTATAGGTAAACCGTGTGGTTACTACTAAACCGACCGTGGTATGGTAGGTTATAACTTCTAAGTTTTGCTGTCACTTCAGACGTCTAATTCCTCTTATTCACTGCTTCTATTGGTCCCAAATTTCTTTCTTACACAAATTTGGACAGAATGCGATGACACTTTCAATTCCTTGTCACATCTTAACATTATCTTTGAATACTAAGATAGAATTTAACAATCTGAAAATGCATAACAACAACTGACATCTATGTCTGGGACAAGAACGAACTTGTTTCTTTTCTCCTTACAGGTTTGAAGAGAATTTTAGAAATTCTTTTGTTGTAAAATTTAACTAAATCTCAAGGATTTTCAATTTATATTCCACTTAAAATCCGCACCTAAAATCATTGCATGGCTGTCAGTTTACAGAATAACCATAATATATTCCATATATGTCCATCTTTGTATAGAAAATAACTCGATACACACAATATCGATTTTATGAAAATCAAAGGGTAGAAATATTATATTTCTATCTAAATTAATTAAAACTACAACTGACTTTCAAAATTTATTACTGCTATGCTTCAGGTAGTTTCGTCTCTATATCCAGTCAGTTTTAGCTAGCATAATATCTTTTCCTGAGTCTATATACGCTCTGATTAGAATATCGCAGTTTTTTATTGTTCTTGTTTTCCAATTATGCTAACATGCTTTATTTGGCAAATTCCGTTTGATTGCAATTAAAAAGGATAAACCGTTGAGATAGAACAAGTAAATAGTATATTGATTCTTCTTCAAAATATTTATATTAAAATTTAAATTAATATCTGCAACTGTGTATTAAAAGTTGCATTTTTTTCTTATTTATTAAGAAATTCATGACCTACGACTATTTTCAGAATGAACATATGAACATAAATCAAATTGTCAAGTCTTCGTCTCAGTTTCCACAAAACAAGCAACAATCACACGTAGAAGCGGTCAGATGTTAATTTTGGGAATTTTACCATAATGAAGACATATATACTGCGTACGAGTAGGCTAGCGATATTTCCATTTGAATAGCGTCGCATTTTTCTTTCGTTCATGGTAGTTGCAAAAAGAGCGTACGAATAATGCCTTATGAAGGAGTTTTAAATATGTAATGAATGTCTAAATAAATTGATAATATTTTTGTATTTTGTTTTCTAAGCCATCCCCTTGCTTATCAAGGGAAACAAAAAGAAAGAAAAAGTAACGAAAGTTTCATCAATATTTGACACAATATTTATGTTGTTCATTGATATTGTTGCTCATTTGTGTGGTAAAAGGGAAATTTCTATTATTGCTTGGCATCGTGTTTTCCAGTCTTTCTCTTCACTGCTTTTTTCAGTCATTTTCCATATGCTCGGTTTAAGTGAAGTGACATGGGAAAAGTTTAAACTTGATTAGCGTTTTGAGTGCACTTTCAATCAGTTCTCATATATGTATAGACAGTACGTATATATTATGCATCTTGTGTGCAATATTTGACAATACGAAACAAACAGCGACAGCGGAAGTAGCAACATTGTTAGAAGCAACGTTTTGAGAAGGCCGCGATACTGCCAGTAATTTGGAGCACATACATGCGGGTATGGTTTCTCACGAACATGTAGAAAAAGTTATTTTTCCGATAAAGAGAAGAAACGATATTCACAACATTTTTCGGAGTTTATTTTGTTGCAGATGTTTTTTGCTTTTCTTCTTTACTTGCAAGTTTTTGTGTTAAGTGGTTTTGGTTAAACACATATCTTGCACTTATGCATTTACATTTATTAAAGCAGACGTGTGTTAACTTTAAGCAACAACCTCGGCATACGAATGTACAGATATATAGGAAACTCTACATACATATATGTTTCGTTTTTCTATGCATGCATATTGGCATGCATTATTGGTTATGCAAACGGGTGGTTATGCCGGTGTCGCCATTTATTCGAAAATTATGCTTACCAATGTCGAATATGGCATTGGTAACGACGAATTTGATGGTAGCCAACATGACAAAAAACAGCAAGGCATGAAAGAAAATGCAATATTTCAGTCGTGATTTATTTAATAAACCGTAAAGAAGAACACA